ATAAGATGGGTAAAAGCAGAAGCGTAAAAGCAAAGTGTCACTTCGACTTATTCTGCAAAAGTTGTAGCAGCTAGGGGAATCGGAAGAAGAGGATACTAGAGGCAACATTATTTGAGCTTCCGGAGAATACACTCGCTTCTGGATGATTGTGCGACATGTTCTATTTTTAGATGTAGAGAGAAGAGGAGAATGGAGGAGAAGCGGCAACGTAGTAGGGATTATGAATTTGTAAAAGGAAAGGCCGAAAGTACAACTCAACATAATTAAAACTAGGGTTAATATATTTGTATGGTCTGAACTTTGACCAAAATAAACATATTGGCAAATCTTTTCGATATATAACATTCTGGCCCAAACTATACATCAAAATAACGAAATTGGCCAAACCCAATATATAACATCCTGGCCCAAACTATATCATCAATTTTCAGTTAATTTTTTTTTATAATTTCCACCTACTATCATTTTCTTTTTCATTTTGAACAGAATTTATAAATGTTTTTTGGGGAAAGAAGAACATTTTTTTTGTTGTTGTTGAAGGAAGCCTCTAAAAGATCACTTCTTGAGGCTGCCCCTGACGCCAGGACGTGGTTTCCCGGACTAGCTATCAGCAACGGCTGCAGGCGCGGTGGCGTGCAAATTTTGGATCTTATTGTCCTCGAATGGGATCTTAGGGTGGCGAGCATCGTGATGGATCTGCATCGATTTCACATAAGGACCCGTGACTTTGCAGTGCGGGCACTCTTATTTGGCGTGGCCTCCTTTGGTTTGCCCCGTCCTGTCGACCATCCCGGCTTTCCCTCCGCCTTTGTTCGTTAGTGCGGCTTCCGCCTTCGCTGCTATCTCCTTCGTCGTGTGCTTCTTCGGCTTTGCCTTCCCGGTCATGGTTCGATAGCGCGCGCGAGCCCGCTGCGGATTTGGTGGGAGAAAAGAGAAAAACCTAGGAAGTTGAAAACCCTAGAATTCGTCGACGATTGATTGGGAAAATGTGGAATTGGGGAAATAAGAGCTTTTTTTTTGTTTAAAATGAAAGGAAAATTATAATAGGTGGAAATTATAAATATTTTCAATTGAAAATTGCTGAGTTGGCAGTGACGTGGCGCGTTGACCGTTAGTCAACGCATTTGACCGTCCAAGTTAATGGTCAAACATCGGGTTTGACCAATTTCGTTATTTTGATGTATAGTTTAGGCCAGGATATTATAGATCGAAAAGAATGACCAAGATGTTTATTTTGGTCAAAGTTCAGGCCATACAATTATATTAACCCTAAAAACTATGTCAGTTTCTTCTTTTTTGGTAAGCAAAACCGATCCAAGCACAACCCAATATGATCCTATAACGAAAATACCTAAAGTTTAAAAGCTAGCTTCTACGACTTTTATTACACTTGAGATCTTTTACTTAGGTTTTTGTTTGGCTTTTGGTGCAAAAGCTACATATTTGGGAGTTCTAAAGCATAAAAGCCTATGCTTTTAAGCTAGCTTTTGACTGCATTGTTTTGAAGTCATATGAGTGATGAAATCTTGAATGATTTATTGATGGATGTACTTTAATAATGAATAATGATATCCCTCATAATTTGCATGATGAATGTATTTTAGAATATTTTTAAAATATGAAAACACATCCTAAAATTTATGTTATATATTTTCAAATATGAAAATACATGCTAAAGAGAGCCACTGCAAATAAGTAACGAGTCAAATTGTCCCATCAAATAAATATGCATTTCTCCCTAACCCAAGCAATAAGATTCATTTAATCAGTGTTATTAAGGCCGACCCCGCCCGGCCAGTCGGACCAATTAAATCGGCACCCGTCCGCCTATCTGGTTCGGTACACTCAATTAACAACAGCGGGAGGGAATGGTGGTTTTCAAGCGGCCGGAATGGTTGACCATTCGAGCCGATCGAACCGCCCGACCAGTTTTTACATTTGACCCATATGTTATTATAAAAAAAAAATCCAAAAATCAGACATGTTGGGTTTGAAAGCCGCTATAGCAGTGAGGCGCCGACGATCGATCTCTATCCTTCATCGCCGTCGTCTTCACCATCCTTCAAAAGTGAGAGGCAGATCGAGAGTTTGAGAGACGAAACATAAAGGGTGATGGAGGTCAATCGTGTATTGTAGGAAGGGAGGAAGAAATTGAAAGATAGAGAGGAAGAATGATAAGAATTCGAGCTCGTGAAAATTTAGGTTCTTTTGTCAAAGTCGGGCAACTTTGATCTTTTTAGAGTTTTCTGAATTTTCTCTCAACAACTCAAAAAGTAAAGGATAGGGCGAAATTGCCGTGTAATCTCAACACGAAATCGAGAGAAGGCTCAAACAATATAAGGGTAGCAACTCGACCACAATCATGGGGAATACTTGATTGATACAGAGCTCGCTCGAATGCTGGAGATCCACCAACAAACAATGACAAAATTCACGAGTAAAAACTCAATGAACCGAAATGATTTTTTTTTCTATTCAACCTTCATCTCCCTCGAAATAGAGTATACAACCCTTTAAATAGGTTTGGAAAATAAATCTAATGAAAGTACAGATAAGGAAAAATAAACCTAAACAAAAAAGTAACTAAAACTCGTCAACCCAAAAATACTCTATCGGGTATTTTAACCCTCCTGACTGGGGGTCCTTCTGACCCAAATACCCTATCTCGAACCTTAGATCCTCTATAGGTGATTTTAACCCACATGATAGGGTATTTTTCCTGATCACCATACGATCTTTAGGGTGCTTGTTTGGTGTCCAGGAAGTTTCAATCTTCTCATCAGGGGCGGACCTAGGGCAAGGGGAGAGGTGTCGTCCGACACCCCTCCGTCCGAAAATTTTGTGAAGGACCTCCTTTTTTTGGTACAAATTTTTTTAATTTGGGATTTCCGACACCGCTCTAATAATTATAAGCGACACACTTTCATTATACGACAATAGTTTTAATGTTATACAGTTATTCATCATAATTAGTAATTAACAATAATATGTAAAATAAAATAAGCATGCTTGTTTTAAGTAACCCACAACCCAATTTAACTTGTCGATTTGTAGTTAATAGGTGAATTGCGTATATTTATGAGAGATTGTTGTTTGATTTTGGTTAATTTGATAGAACTAGAGAAAAAATGCTAATGATATTACTTTAGGCATACTTTATTTTTTCTAAAATAGCCGATTGGTAGCAAACTAATTTATTTTAACTTAATTTGATTTTAGACGTAGGTCGATTCTCTGTAGTTGAGTGACTAATTTATGAATGATTATGTAGCTGTGTATATCGAAAAATGTTTGATTTGCAACATAAACGATGAATGTATTTTTAAAAAATCTCAGGATATGAAAAATCGTCATAATTTGTAGTAAACATGACGTTATGAACTTATAAATGAATTTTCAGTAATTTTTATTTAATTATTTTATTTATTATAATTCTTTATCGGCGACACCCTTCTTCAATAATCCTGGGTCCGCCACTGCTTCTCATCCAATGCCTTCACGATCTTTAACAAGACTTGTACTCTCATTCCCAACACCTAGCTTTACTCGAATGTCTCCCAAACAAAACGAGTAAGCTCCCAAAGTAGGTACCTCGTAGTGTTTCTCAGAAATTTCAGCTTCTTCTTCCCTTGAGTTGGTTTTTTCTTTAAACATTAATGGAAATGGTTTTGGGCCACGATACAGGATCACATCAAAGAAAGTAGAAGTGAGATAATTGTTGGGCTTGTTTTGAATTCTGTTTCGTGTTATTTGCAGGAAGAGAGGAAGAAATTGAAAGATAGAAAGGATAGAGAGAGCAGTGGCTGACCCAGGAAGTTTACACAAGGGTGTCCTCTTTCAAAAAATAAATAAAAATAATAATTAAATAATTCTTAAATAAGAAAATACCCAACTCGTACAAGTTAAAAACTCCAAGATGTATTTTCATTTTTGAAAAAAATTGTAAAATAGACTTTGTGTCTACACTGCTCAACAAAATTGTCTCGGTATATCCTACTGGCTACTACACAATCATTCATGAACTGACGCATATTCGACTTCTAAATTTGTTCTTGATGTAACTCAAAGCTGAAAAAACACTTTTAACACTTGTTGTACAACCATAAAATCAATACAAATCAAGGGTAGCTTGTAATTAGATTAATTGTTAGGTTTTGGAAATAATTAAAGATAGAGAAGAGTTTTGCTATTACACAATGTTTAGAATAGAACAACAAAAAAGTTGTAGTCTAATGGAAATTATATTTATTAATAGTATTAGTGTCCCGAGTTTGAATTACCCAAACTACCACTTATATTTCCATACGCAAACTACAAACAAGAGTAGGATAATAGTTTTTTTCAAATTTCAGGGTGTCTCGGACTATTAATTATAATTTTTTTTGTTCATACGTAAATTACCATCGGGGGTTGGATAATCGTTTTTCCGCAATTTAGGGGTGTCCTGGGACACCCCCAAACCCTCCTGAGTCCGCCACTAAGAGGGATTGAGGTGAGCGGCGGTCTGGAGTGGGGTTTTCATATATAATGTAAAATTATTAAATGGTACCTAGAAAGTAAATTTTATTTCAGTCACTAAATTATTAATATACTATATTTGTCTTCTACTAGATATTATTGTTTAAAAGATGCTGGTTCTCTAACTGTTTTTTAACGGTCCAATATCGGTTGGAACTCTAAAGTGTGAGTTGTTCACGTTTTTGGATCGTGCTCCGGTTCGAGTATGACAACATTGCATTTAATTTAAAATAATAATTGATGGTTATGATACTTCCTTAGGACGGGAAAGCGTGGAAGGCAAGTTCATAAAAATATATCAAGTGAAAATAATAAGTGTGAATGCATGGTATAATATACGCAAGGCGTACATAACGTTTTACTCTATATATTATTTATTTATTAAAAATAAATAAATAATATTTCCACGTGTTAAGATCCTATTTGGCTGTGTTTTAAGTTTTAACCACATCTATCCTCTCGATAATCTTTCCTTCTTTCTCCCGATGTCACTGTTGTTCTGTAAGACCAAAAGTCAGGGAAGGGGTATCTTCGTCTCTATCTGTCTCCTTTTCCCTTCAAATCATTGTTCATCACTTCTCAGGTTGCTCAAAATCCCTTTTCGACCTCAAACTTCAAACTCCTCAAACCCCTAACCCACCAATCAAGAATCGAAGCCGCAGAGAACCATTTTCGTGGAAGATCTTCTCCATGGATCCAATCGATGACAGCCCTTGCTGGGATTTTCTCGATAATTTCATCGACGAAACTGCGTCTTCTTCTTTTCTTTGGCCTAGTAGTAACAGGTACCTGCTCCTTCTCGCTTCTACAGATTCCAGATCTCTTCCTAGCCCTCCTCTCAACTTTCTGTCGTGTTGTTCTGTATTTCTATATCCTTTTGTTGAAAGGGTGAATTTGGGGTTCTGATTGTCGAACTGTTTGACGCTTTCGGGGAATCCGATTAGTAAGAACAATTGGAAGGATCGGAATATGAAAGTTTGGAAATTTCTATGATGGGTTTATTGAGTGAGACTGGGATTTTGCATTGGTTTGTGAATTTGACTGAAAATCCGCCAAAAAAGCTGGTTGCTGATACCATCCTTCTGTTTTGCAGTGGAAGCGTGGAAATTGATTTCTCATCGAGTGTTGCTGTCTCACAAGAGAAGGAATCCACCCGCAAGAGGTATTCTGGTTTGACTTATGAGAAATCCAAAAATTCCCATACTTTCAAGTCAGTGCTTCTGAATGTGTGGAACTGGTTACAGCTTGTTAGAGTATGGGGGAAAGTGGAAGAACGGAGCTTCTACCTTAGGCGTTAGGATTAAATTAATTCCGTGTTTTCCCTGCATTCTCTTAGTATATGTACAGTGGTTGGTGCCGGATGAAGTACTATGCGTAAAATTTGTTGGTTCAAAGTTTTCACTGTCTATTCTCTGTTTATGCAGGGTACGTAGTGATTCATGTAGCAAGCCTGGTGCGAAAGCATGCCGTGAGAGGCTGCGAAGAGAGAAATTGAATGACAGGTAACTTGGTTGTTTCAAGTCTCTGTTTTTTTGCTTACACCCTTATCATTTAATATTACCTGATGGGTTGGTGAGCGAGCCTGCCGAGACATGTTTATAACAAGCTGGATTTTCTACTATGTGATGTTGTCTCCTTGAACGTTTTGAGTTCGAACAATGTGTATTAATTTGACTGGAAAATTAATTTGCAGATTTCAGGATCTAAGTGCTGTGTTGGAGCCTGGGAGACCCGTTAAAGCTGACAAACCAGCCATAATTGATGATGCCATTAGAATTCTCAACCAGTTGAAATCCGAGGCAAAGGAGCTCAAAGAAACAAATGAAAAATTACAAGAAGAAATTAAAAGTTTGAAGGTTTGAGTTTCATCAAGCATGCCCAATTTTGAATCTTGATTGGTGGCTTGCTGATGTGATCTCATTATTTGGTTACTCGAACTATCATTTTCTTATGTATCGCTTTAGATGCGAATTGTGTTTTGATTGCTGACATTTATAACAGGCTGAGAAGAATGAACTCCGCGAGGAGAAGCTGACCTTGAAGGCAGACAAGGAAAAGATGGAGCAACATGTGAAAGCTATGGCTGTTCCTACTCCTCCTCCCGGGCTTATGCCAGCACACCCAGCAGCAGCCTATCATGCTGGGGCAACAAAGATGCCTCCTATGTATCCCAGCTATAGTCTGGTACCTATGTGGCAGTATTTGCCTCCAGCTGCCTACGACACATCTCGTGATCACGAGTTAAGGCCTCCTGCTGCTTAGTTCTTGACTGTTACTCTACTCAAAAGGATGTAGTCATTGTTGAACCATCCAACAATTTTTTCTCCCCATTGAATTTGGGTCGCTTAATTTGTACATACAAACTGCTCTGTCCCCTTTTGGTTTGGTTTGACATTTGGGAATCAGCAAGCTCTTTTTGCTGCTGAGAATCGACCAGAAATGTAGGCAGATGAAATTGTTCTATAGAATAAATTATCTTATGCTGATATAATGTACTCTTTGACGATAGCAACTATGCACCTATCCTGTTTTTGTGCTGGGATTTCGATACTTTCCTCATCCAGCTTGAAATGGGTTTGTGGAATCGGATCCTAGTTTGATCCTTGTTAGATTTGCATGGGAGCAGTAAGAGAAGTAATGGACATCAGAGCCTGATCATATTATTCTGAGTTTTCTTGATTGTGTAAGTGAAGGATAGCAATCAATGCCTACGCACAATTGACAGGGGGTTTAGAAATTTTAGATTCTCTGAGTAAATACTTGACGATGGATCAATTTCCACCTTACTTGTATTATAAGGAGGAAATCTACATGATTGATTGCACACCAAAGGAATATACAGTTCTCTTCAAAAAAAAAAAAAAAAAAGGAATATACAGTTTGGTAGCCAAAGCCAATACACGCGAAAGGGTAATCATGACAAGCATGACTGATTGGCTGACCCATTTGTCACTTTAGTCCATCTTCAAAGGAGATATCCATCGGTTGAAGGATATTGAAGGGCTAAATTACACGTTTGGTCACTCGAATTACATAAATATTTCACGTTTACCACTCGAATTACTTTTCTTTTTTATTCACCACTAACTTTACGAATCGTTTCACCGTTAGTCACCGACCGTTAGTTTCCGTTAGACACCGTTAACTCCGTCAGTTTTCTAATGATGTGGTAAACAGAAATGCTGACTCGACCGTTAACTTTGTGACATGTAATTTATAAAAAAAAAAAAAAATTGACCGCCTGGTCAGCCTCACCCAACCCTTTACACGTTTGGTCACTCGAATTACATAAATATTTCACGTTTACCACTCGAATTACTTTTCTTTCTTATTCACCACTAACTTTACGAATCGTTTCACCGTTGGTCACCGACCGTTAGTTTCCGTTAGACACCGTTAACTCCGTCAGTTTTCTAATGATGTGGCAAACAGAAATGCTGACTCGACCGTTAACTTTGTGACATGTAATTTATAAAAAAAAAATTGACCGCCTGGTCAGCCTCACCCAACCCTATCAACAGTACAATTTCTAAATTCCCTTTCCTCTTCTATCCATCGCCGACCTCTGGAAATGGAGCCATCGCCTTCCACCGCCCCGCCGGCTACAACCCCCGACAGGTCTAAGCTGCCTCATGTAGTTACAGAGGCCAGATAATCCCCCGCCCTTGAACCAATTCTCTCTTCTACGCCGGCGGCGACACCCTCATTATCACAGTCCCTACCACCCCCACGCATTGTCGCCATCCTTCGCCTCGGAACACCGTTCGCTCTCAGAAGTCGCGTCTTTCGAATTGGGGAATTGGGGATCCGGGTCAGAGAGAAAGGGGGGGGGGGAGACGATCCGCCGTCGCCACTCGCCACCATCAACCTCTGTTGCCCACAACCAAAACCCATCCCCTTCCGCCGCCGCCCTCAATTTCAATCTCAACCACGACGACTCATCCCCCTCCACAGTAGACGACGAATTGGACGCGGAAAAAAGGGGTGATGATGATAGAAAAGGAAGGGATGTTTGAGAAGTCGTCGACTCCATCCGATGTGGGGAAGCTACTCGGGATTTTGCTTGTAGGGATTTGGCCGGATAGCAAGTTGTGGCTGGGGTCGATAGACTGTACCAATGCAGGTGTTATAAACGCGCTGCTACGGATCGGGAAATCGCCCGTGGACGTAGCTAACACACATCGTGTTAGTGAACCACGTAAATCGTGTGTCTGTGTTCTTTCGATTCTCGCTTTCGTATTCTTGCTTTGTCGATCCCGGCGATTTCCCGATCCGTAGCAGCGCGTTTATAACAAGTGGTATCAGAGCCGCGGCTGGAAATCAGGCTAGGGTTTTCGATTCAGAAGAATGACGTCGGTGAACATGAAGATCGAAAAGTTTACGGGGAAGAACAGCTTCGCTATATGGCAGATCAAGATGCAGGCTTTATTAAAACAGCAAGGGCTGTGGGGGCCGCTGTCTGCGAAACAGAAGAAGGCAGCGGTCGATGACGATGAGTGGAATACCCTGGAGGAGAAGGCCCACTCGACCATCATGCTATCGTTGTCTGATGACGTCATCATTGAAGTCGCTGCTGAGAAGACTGCCGCGGGCTTGTGGTTGAAACTAGAGAGTCTGTACATGACTAAGTCTCTAACCAACAAGCTGCATCTCAAGCAACGGTTGTTCAGCTTGAGGATGCAAGAAGGTACGCCTTTGAGGGAACATCTCGAACAACTTAACTCTATTTTGCTGGATCTGCGTAATATAGATGTTCAAGTTGATGACGAGGATGCTGCCCTAATCCTGCTGGTTTCTTTGCCGAGTTCATATGAGAATTTTGTTGATTCTTTTATTGCTGGTAAAGAAAGCGTGTCGTTGGAGGATGTCAGGTCTGCTCTTCATACGAGAGAGATCAGACATAAGGCGTCCGGATCTGGTACAGGTGGTGAGGCATCGGGTTTGGCTGTTACAGGTGGAAAGGGAAAGAAGAAATCTGGTAAAGGGAATTCAAGCAAGAATTCCAAGGGTCCCGGTCCACAGCCAGGTGATGCTTGTCACAACTGTAAGGAAGTGGGGCATTGGAAGTACAACTGTCCCAAGAGAAGAGGGCAACAGAAGAAACAAGGTTCAGTTGCCGTGGCAGAAGTGGACAACAGTTCTGAAGACGATCTCGCCTTGGCTGTAGATGAGAAGGCACATCGTGGTGATGTGTGGTTTCTGGATACTGCAGCCTCATATCATATGTCTCCGAACAGGGATTGCTTCACAACCTACGAGCAGATAGATGGTGGTAACGTGGTCATGGCAAATGGAGCTGTCTGCAAGGTTGTTGGAATCGGGTCCATAAAGGTTCGGACACATGATGGTTCGTTCTGTACCGTGAATGATGTCAGACATGTTCCACGAATGACAAAGAACCTGATCTCCTTGAGTCTACTCGACAGCAAGGGCTTCAGCTTCAAAGGAAAAGGTGGAGTTGTGTATGTCTGCAAGGGTTCGAGGAAGGTACTGAAGGGCGTGAAGCGTGGGACCTTGTATGCATTACAAGGGTCTGTGTTGTCTGGTTCTGCTGCAGTTGCATCGTCTCAGGTTCAACCGGAGGATATGACCACTCTCTGGCACATGAGACTGGGGCATATGAGTGAACGAGGGATGCAAGTTCTATCAAAGAGGGATCTTCTTTGCGGGCACAAGGTGCAGAATTTGGAATTCTGTGAGCATTGTGTGTTTGGGAAGCTACATCGCAGCAAGTTTCCCAAGAAGGGTATCCACCGGACGAAGGGGATACTAGATTACCTCCACTCCGACTGTTGGGGTCCTTCACGAGTTGAATCCATTGGAGGCAGCAGGTATTTTCTGTCTATTATTGATGATTATTCGAGATTTACTTGGATTTTCATGATGAAGCAGAAAAGTGAGGCTTTCACGAAGTTCAAGCAGTGGAAGACATTGATGGAGAATCAGACCGGGAAGAAGATCAAGAAGCTGCGAACGGACAATGGTCTGGAGTTCTGCAGTTCTGAGTTCAACGAATTCTGCAAGGATGAAGGGATTGCCCGTCATCGGACTGTTAGAGATACACCTCAGCAGAATGGCGTTGCAGAAAGAATGAACCAGACATTGTTGGAGAGAGCACGATGCATGCTCTCTAATGCTGGACTAGAGAGAAGATTCTGGGCAGAAGCAGTAAACATGGCGTGCTTCCTGATCAACCGTGGACCTCACACAGGTATCGAGTGTAAGACTCCTTATGAGGTGTGGTATGGTAAGCCTGCTGATTACTCTTCACTGAAAGTTTTTTGGGTGTCCTGTTTATTATCATGTGGATGAGGGTAAGCTGAACCCAAGGGCAAAGAAGGGTGTATTTGTGGGTTACGGAGATGGAGTTAAGGGATTTCGAGTCTGGTCACCTTCTGAGCATCGCGTTATACTTAGTAGAAATGTGATATTTGATGAGAAGTCTATGTTTAACCCCATGTTGAAGGTTACTGTTGTTGAAGGTAGCAGGAATGTTGATAAACAGGTGGAGCTGCAAACTCTCAATGAGAGTGCGTTTGAGCACCAAGGTGGAGAAGATCAACATGATGAGGATGTCTCTGCAGAGCCAGAAACTTCAGAGTCCAGTGCACGAGCTCAACAGTCTATTACTTCCGGTAGACCAAAGAGAGCGACTGCAGGAGTACCTCCACAGAGGTATGGCTTTGAGGACATGGTGGCGTATTCATTTCAGGTTGCTGAAGAAGTGGATGCAGGAGAGCCACAGTCCTATAGAGAAGCAGTTTCGGGTGGTGAAGCTGATCAGTGGCTTGCCGCAATGGGAGATGAGATGGAATCCCATGACAGGAATCAGACTTGGGAGCTAGTCAAACGACCACAGGGAAGGAAGATTGTTACAAACAAGTGGATCTACAAGAAGAAGGAAGGAATCACTTCGAAAGAGGGCATGAAATTTAAAGCTCGGGTGGTTGCACGAGGCTTCTCGCAGAGGGAAGGAGTTGACTACAATGAGATTTTCTCACCAGTTGTCAGACATACTTCGATCAGAGTGCTACTAGCAATAGTGGCACATTATGACTTGGAGCTCGAGCAGCTAGACGTGAAGACAGCTTTCCTACATGGAGAGTTGGAGGAAGAAATTTACATGACTCAGCCAGAAGGATTCGAGGTTCTGGGAAAAGAAGACTATGTTTGTAAGCTGAAGAAGTCCTTGTATGGACTTAAGCAATCTCCGAGGCAGTGGTACAAGAGATTTGACAGTTACATGCTTGAGCTGGGCTACAGCAGAAGTCCATATGATTGTTGTGTATATCACAGCAAGGCAGAAGATGGTTCGATGATATATCTAGTTCTGTATGTGGATGATATGCTCATAGCTGCGAGGTCAAAGTCTGATATCCAGAAGTTAAAGGGGCTTCTCAGTGCTGAGTTTGAGATGAAGGATTTGGGAGCTGCTCAGAAGATCTTGGGTATGGAGATTTACAGGGACAGGTCGAAGAAGAAGCTTTTCTTGTCACAGAAGAGCTACATCCAGAAGATACTGTCGAGGTTTGGCATGTCTTCAGCAAAGCCCTTAAATACTCCTAGTGCTTCAAATGTTCATCTATCCTCAGCTTATGCACCGCAGTCAGAGGCTGAGAAGGAGTACATGTCGAGAGTCCCATATGCTAGTGCAGTAGGTAGCTTGATGTACGCTATGGTATGCACTAGACCTGATCTTGCACATGCTGT